ATATACATTCTGGGTGAAATTACCACCGAGAATAATTTCAACACAATTCAGTGTACACAAATGAATGTGAAGCTCATGATTTTGTTCATTTGAATTGAGGTACACAGATATTACGCTAAAAAAAACAGAACAACCCTTTGATAATTCAACAATAGGGCCAAAAATTGTTGCAAATATATCAGAGAAAATAGTCTGTCCAGACCCAGTGTGTCCGGAGCGGAGGGAGCCAGGTGGCGGAGTCTCAGTGTGCTTTCCAGTATTTCCAGATGATCATCCATACTGCTGTACTTCACAATATCACTGATATTCTGTCCTGCTGTGCCCAAGAACCTTAGAGGAACCACAAAACATTCACGGCCAAGAGCTGCTCACCACACCACACCACTGAGAGAGGATAAATACACAGGTAGTTACTCACCGGACACCATCTACGATGGCTTGGTAGGGGTTGTTGACCAGCTGCAGCGTGGGGAAGGGCACAGACAGAGGGAACATGCAGCGGTGCAAAGGCTGCTGGGGAAGAGTGTAGTTTGTTGGGTCATACTGTCCAGGCATGACATCTACAGGTACAGAGGCCTATAGGGAACAAATCACATATTACAGAGACTTCAAAACATTTTATATTATTATCGTGGGCACTTCAAAATACCGTGAATAATTATATATTTCTAATTATTCTGATTTTTTGAATGCATTTTAAGAATACTTTTAGCATCAACTGGTTAAAATGCACAACACCGCTGAATGCTGCGTCAAAGACTCATGCGCACTCTGATGTAAACAAACTCAACCCGGATGAGAAGCTCATGGCAGAACCAGTGAAAGAGATGCACTGATTGAAAGCGCACATTCACTCTCTGACAGCAGAAATGCAGCCGTTAACCCTGTAAACAAAGCAGCTGTCCTACTTTCTGTTCTTTCAAACAGCCATTCAGATTTTTGTATTCGCAGTGGTGCTCATCACAGCACTGAATTCTTATGCTGCGTACTTATTTAAATACTTAAATTCTTAGACTTAATAGACCATTTATTTTTTTAACATTTTACTCTGGACTACAACATGCCCTAGATATTGTTTGAAAAGGTTTTGATTCTTTGTTCGGTCACACTTTACATTAAGGCTCTGTTGTTTAACATTAATTAATTCATTAGTTAACAAACTGCAAATGAAAAATTATTCTAAAGCATTCGTTAATCTTAGATAAATTTAACATTTAATAACACATTATAAAAATCAAAAGTTGTAAAGGTATTATTTAAAGGACCTGAGCTAACATGAACTAACAGTTGTTTAAAAAAAAAAAAAAGTATAACTTCTGTAACAAATGTAGCAATTGGCTATTGTTAATGTTAATGCATTAACTAAGGTTAACTAATGAGACCTTATCATAAAGTGTTACCTATTGTTCTTTATAATTCTTTTGCACTTTAATCTGTTTGAAACATTTGTTTACTTTATACATTTTTGTATAAAGCGTTCTGAAGGCTTCAATGTATACATCCTGTTCACAAAAACATTTGTAGTCAAAGAATCCACTTGTGATTACCAGACATGTATGAGCAACTTCAACACTAGGGATGCATGATATATCCGATTCAGCTAGGTTGTCAGCCAATATATATATATTAAAGTCGACATGCAATGGAAACTGAGATGTCTTTTCTTCTCTATTATGTCTTATATATGTCCATCACAATAAAATGTATAAAAGATTTCCAAAAATATAACAATATGCACTGATAAATCATTTATAATAAACACTGCAATATTCCACAAAAATAAAAATAAAAAATAGAATTGTCAATTTGGTCAAATTTGATTTCATGGCAACTTTCAACATTTTTTTGATTTATTTTTATTGGTCGATTTATTTTTTTATATATTTTTGTATTCTTTTTTTCTCTGATTTAGATTACTTTTTGCCATCATATAACACTCACTTAAGTTCATTTTTAAAATACTGTTAATTAAATAATACTATTAAATGTAATCTTTCCTAAATCCAAAATGAATATCCATATTTCACGCTGCACATTCTCATGTTGTGATTTCCAAATTTATGGTTTCATTCTTTTTTATTTCCATTTTTTAATGGTTTATTTTTCATTTATTTAGACAAAATAATACCTTAATTTTAATACTCATTATTTATCAGTTAACAGCCATAACAGTTATGTATTAGCCAGATTTTTAAAACTGCTGCATACATCAGTATGTCTAAAAAAAAACCTCCGGATCTCTGGTCAGTCATGTCAGGTGTGTTTCTGCACCTGTCTGAGCCGAGAGGCTGTCTGGGGGTCTGTGGAGGAAGGTCGGCCATGCAGAAGTCTTCAACAGTGAATTTCCCATCATTCTTCTCTGCACCCATGATAGCAATAACACTACCTGAAAATACCATTTCACAACAAAGCATGAAGATTGAGAAGCCCGAGAAGACTGAGACGGATCAGTTTGTCTTACTATTTATTGACAAATGTTCCCTAACTTTCCTGTATCCCACCTGTTACAAACTTAGGAGTGTCAATGTTGCCTTCTAGTTTGATCCTCTGCAGTTCATCCTCCAAAATAAGCTCATCTGATTGGCTGATGTATTTGGCACGAGGTGGCTGAGGCAATAGATTGTGCTGAAGAAGAGAGAGAAAAGACATGTTAAAGATGGGAAGACAGAGAGGACAGGAAGCTTAAGTTTGTAACATCAGGTGGAGTTTTACCTCCTCACTGATCTCCTTCAGGATGGAGGGCTGCAGCTCCATGTTTTTGAATATGGTGCCCACTATTATACACTGTTCACCCGTCTGCAGGTCACACAGCTCCTGATGGGCACGACTCCGCCTGCCACACACATCCAGTCATGTTCAGAAACGCCTCAGGCAGAACACAACAGCAGCACGAGCCTGTCAACAACTTTGCAGAGGTTTCTCACCCCACTTCTGCCTGGCTCTGTCGGCGAGGACGTCTCTCATCTTCAGGAGTCTGGTGGCGTAGATGTGCTCATACTGGCGGCTGAAGCTGCGCTCGCCGAGGCGGAATCTCTCCGAGCAGCCGCTGAACGAGAGCTGGAGACGGTCAAACACCGGCTCCTCTGAGCCTGGAGCAGACAATAGCGTCTCCTTCGGCACGATCACGTCTGAGAACATGACTGAGGGCACGCTTTTGGACGCTAGATTAGCAATTAAACAATGTTATGTTAATAAAATATACAGTGGGTACGGAAAGTGTTCAGACCCCCTTAAATTTTTCACTCTTTGTTATATTGCAGCCATTTGCTAAAATCATTTAAGTTAATTTTTTTCCTCATTAATGTACACACAGCACCCCATATTGACAGAAAAACTGTTTATTACAAATCTATATAAGTGTAAAACACGCATCTTACTGTATGCTAGCAGCTCAACAGCTTCACTTTCTTACCTGCTGTGCTGTTTTTTTCTACAATATATATTATAAATCTAGTTTGATCAAAATTGAGAATGTAATATGAAAAATAAGTAATGGCAATATTTGTGAGGGGAAAAAAGACAGTATGGCTAATAACAACTGAAATTTATTAGGTAGGTTTTCCAAAGAGACAAGTATTTATTATGCATCCGACAAAATGTAATGCTTCAAAGCTCAACTTTAGATTTGCAAATATTTAACACAATCACCTCAATGAAAAGTGAGACTAAAAAAGGGCAGTTTGCTAGGAGACGACTGCCAATATTAAATGTTCGGTGTTATTTAATTATCCATGCACTGAATGTAGGATAATCACAAGACACTGATTACTCTGAACACAGCACAAGTTCTTTTAAGTGTACAAAAGTAACAGGATTATAAGCACAATAATTAATGCGGAGGATTGAAACAGAGAAGATGAGCGATCTACTTCTTCCTTCCTCCTCTCTCCTTAAGGGCCAGATGGATGACAGATCCGTTGTTCATGTTGTAATAGGCCAGAGAGTTGGAATCTTTGATGAAAATTCCCTGGAGAATCAACACAACAGGAGATCTGAGTTTTCAAAGCAAATACTTTTATATTTAGTAATGTCATAACTAAGATGCCTTGTTCTTTTAAGCATTCAGAGTTTAAATAAAATAACCATCTCATTATTCAACTGACATATTTTACCTCGTACTGCAGTTTCTGTTTTCCAGCCGGCATACCAGTGGCTTCGTGGATCTTAACCTTGATGACAGACACCTGAGGCACAGTATGGCATTTGATTAGCTCACATTTTCATGAATTCTATACATGTTTTGTATAATTCTAAGGATTAGTAGTTAAAATGTGTTCAAATGGTGCATACAGATACGAGATGGGCAAACTCTTTACCTGGTCTGTGAGAGGCAGGCTGAAGTTCAGCACTTGGCCACTCAGCTTCCATTCTGTCTTGTCCTGCATGTTGGGCACCTGGACCTTGACTGCAACAGGTCCCTAAAAGAGAGCAAAGGTCAAATTGAAATGATTAACAGATGACCCTTATGTAATAACAGTTCAAAAATATTCATTGCTAACTGCACTCAAAACAGTTTGCTGCAGCAGCAATGCACCTTGTTCCTGCGCAGGAACTCCTCTTCTGGAATCAGGTTGTCCTCGGTCTTCATTTTCTTGCTGGAAGGCTCGTCCTCGTGAGGAGGTGGAGGATGGGCAGGAGGCATGGGGGCGGCAACAGCGCTGGGAGGTTGAGGCACAGGGGGAGCAGGTACAAATGCTACAAAACAAAAGAGATTTATTATAGCAAAATTATTATTATTAACAAAATTAATATTATTATTAAATCAATTATTAAATTACTAATTATTTATTAGTAATTATTATTACAATTATATAACAAAAGTTTTATTAAATAAAAAAATCATTATTTATATAATATAAATTCTACTATTATTATATTACTTTTTTTATATTTAATATAGAAATGTCTGTTGAATATTTATTTAAATTAATTTTTAAATTACAAATAGCTACGCAACAGATCTGTTATTCCAAAGACTCACCAGCAGGAACCACCATCGGTGGAGGTCTGGGTGCCATAATATGGGATGCAGAGGGTGGCATGGGCAACACACTGATGCGTGGGGCATGCAGCATGGGTGGCATGGGGGCCAGACGCACCATAGGGGCCACTGGAGGTCTGGGTATGACAGGAACAGCAGGGAGCAAGGTGGTCCGCACTGGAGGTGCCATCTGGAATATACACAAGAACCTTTAGTTAGAACGAGCACTTTAATTTTTGTGTTTGACAATCAAGCTGATCTCTCAAAACTCCCGAATGCAGACACAGATTGAGACTCACAGCAGGTGTGATGCTAATGGGTGGGGTGGGTTTGGGAAGGCTGGGGGCTACTGATAGCAAGGGCGGCTGAGGAATCTCGTTGGGCTTGCTGGGGCCGATCTTCTCCTTGGTGTCGTCCTGCTGCACTAGACCTTTAGCTTTGTGGATGGCTTCAATTTGCTCCTGCAGGGTGATGTTAGCCTGAGCCGCCTGCTGGGTACGAGCCATGCTGCCCGAGTGACCGTCCCATGTGACCTGCGGAGTAAGAGGAAGGGTTGTTAGATGAACACTACTACCTTCTGGTATTCCTCACTAAGGGGGCACCAAGGACAATAAGCGCAATAAGCATAATATTTTTTTATTAATGTGCTACATGTTTTTAATAATTATTCTTTAATATTTTCTATTTTTAGAGGATTTCACCTCTAAATTATACACCATGTATATCTATATGAAATAATAAGCCCTATATTATAATTTCTATATATGAATATATGCATTTAATTTAATAAATAATAAATAATTATAATATTAACTTAACCCTTTCTAATCATGTCCACAATTTTGATGAAGTAAAAAAAAAAAAAAGAGTAAAATTCAAAACACAACACTGTCCAGTCTAAAATGACAGAGGATCACCAGAGGGTTAAATAATTTGTTTTAGTGATCTGGTTTAAGTGTTTATGGGTTTCTCAACAATGGGCATTGTTTTGGTCCTGCAGACTTTTAGAACACTAGTTTAATTAATTTGTCTACTACAATGTTGAACAGCAGATATAATTTGTTTCTTTTTCTTTCTTACCTTCTCCTCTGGTTTCTGTATCTCCTCCTCTCCGATCTTCTTACCAATGGCTGTTTCTTCCACACCGAAGATATCGGTACGTCTCTCGGCCAGCTGCTTCAGGCTGCTCTCAATGTCCAGGCCCGGAGCGTACACCTCCTCCTCGATCTGACGCTCATGGATGCTGCGGTCACGCTGCTCCAGCCAGCGGGGGTCCAGCAGGCCGATGCGCATGTGCTCCTGCATCTTACTGGCTGGGATCTTCTCACCAGTGATGGGAGAGATGAGGTACTCTCCAGGGGCGACCACAGGAGGCAGAGGCTTAGAGGCTGAAAGAAAGATGAGATAGAAAGTGAGTGGATACAATGAAATATTTGCTGTTCTAGTATGTTAAAGTGTGTGTTTAAAAAAAGCCTTTACCCTTGGGGTCATAGTCTTTGCGGATGATAACCTGGTCCGGGGTGGGGGGCAGAGGTGGTGGCACAGGGTTATCAGGGGGTAGAGGAGCCTTCATGCCATTATCCTCTTCATCAGAGCCCTATTGAGAGAGGAATAACAGGTCAATCAGAGTGTTAGTTTACCCACTTCTATGAACTGCTCATTTGTTACATTATGTGAACATGTAACATCCTCGTCCCATTGATATGATCACCCTGGTTGTCTCACCTCGTCCATGTCCTGCAGCTGTGTGTCCTGGTCTAACTGAGTTGCATGTCCTACCACCCTGCCCACTCTCTCATCCTCTTCATCTTCACTCTCAACCTCCATCTCCACCTCCTCACTCTCTCCAAACTTCTCATAACGCTCCTGGATCAGGATACGAGCGCCCAGCTCCTCAGGAGTAGTGGGAGGAGGGAAATTGCCTGTAATATGTATAATAGTAAAAAAAATGATTATTATCGAGAATATGAATATCAACGACTATATATATAACTAGTAATATATATATAATTATTTTATTAATTTATATTATAAATATAAATTAATATTGTGTTAATTATATACTACTACTAGGGGTGTGATGAGATCTCATGCCACGAGATGTGAATTGAGATTGAGACAAGATTTCTCATTGAGGTGAAAAGATCTCACGATATCGCCATGAAGGAGTATGAGGGTGAAATTAGCACAGAATATGCCACCATTACGTTTACATTAATCCACTGTCATTTAGCTTTTTTATAGAAATAAAAACCATTTAATTCAGTTGAATAACGGTCGCCTCAATTCTAAACTGTAAGCAGCTACTCTTCTCATTCAGCATGAGCTGCAGTCGCACACAGTGCAGCAGGAATCAGAATTCACTGATCGCATGTCAAGAATAAGGCGAGATGACTGACAAGACCATGGCGGAGGATTCGTTGTGCAACAGAGCTTAAGCGTCTGACAAATGGCTTATCTTGTAGAATGCATTCTCAGCACCCCGCGCTTCTTATACAAAGAGTACGCGTGATAGCAAATTCAAAAGCGAAAGTCAAACACAAGCGCGTTTTAAAGGGATTTCAATACCCCACATTTTGAGAGCAGCATGCATATTAGGTTACATACAATAATTTCTAATATCAAACCTACCTTAGGCTGGGCTGTGTAGTTGTAATCATCGCTTAGCTCTGTATCATGCTTGAAGAAAAATGTGGTATCTATTTCCACTTTGAATATTGAGAGAATACTTTTATTATGGTTGCACTTATTGTTTGCACTTACGACTAAGAAAAAAAACTGTTATGTTATTTATACTGTTTTGTGGAATGGAGTTCAGTTAGGAGGTCACGCACAGCTTCAATCAGAAGTTCTAGAAGCTCATAATTCATGTACAGTTCTGAGGTCTGAAGAGACTCGTGTGAAATCATTCAGGAGAGAAGCCAGTGAGTTGAGTTTGTGTCTGTAGTTAGCTAACTGAACCAAAGTTCTGGGAATACATTTTTGCCATTAACAAAATAAAGAACATTTTTCTGATGCAACAGTATGTTTGTGCAAATAAAAATCTTGAAATATTTGAAATCGCACATTATTACACATGCTCACCTTGCTCATGTGGCTGAAAGTCCACAGTCTCCACCACCACAAAGTCATGCCAGTCAATCTGAGCATAAGCCAC